CTCCCCTCTAACCCCACACCCTCTCCACCCTGCTTCTACCCTAGTCTAGGTCATCACTCCCACTCCTTTCTGGGTTTGGTTTTCTTGTTCTGTACAAATAGGAGATCCACGTAAACAGTATATTACTATTTCTCATTGCCTACATGAAAGGTGGCATGCAACAGATACTCATTTGTACCTTTCTTTTTCACTTACCAACCCAGCCTGCAAACCACGCTCGCGAGAGGGTGATGTATTGTGCATGGTAATTCTATTTGGACAGAAAAGGCAATGAAATATGTTCCGCTCTTACTGTCTTGCATACAGACAATCCCAGAGGGCACTTCACAAATTGACAGTCAATAAACCACTCCACCCAGGGGAGAAATAGAGGAAATTCCAAGATGAAATGTTAATATCCACGACACAGAGGCCTCGTGATAAAAAAATAAAAGAAATATTCCAGCTGATGAAATTGGGAATTTAGCAAAGAAAGAATTTTGGGGATAAGTCTAGTTCTAGAGGGATAGAAACCAAGATCTACATTGTTAAAAGGCAAATTCAGGAACTCTTCAGAGAATAACACAGGTCTTCTCTGTTATACAGGATTTGGCACATGGCATATGATCAATGGGAAATGGATTTGAAAAAGGAAAGTGTATTAAGCTGAGTGCTGTTCCTCAAATAAATTAAATGGATGAATCTGTGTCTGTCCTGGCATTTATCAAACCAGTTTAAATTTGGGGAGCCCAAAGAACCACCAGACCTAATACTGTGGCAGATACTATTTTGGATGTATGTATGATGCCATCATTTTATTGTCCCTTTTGGTTTACAATTTTTTTTCCTGGAATTGCCACTGTTTCTAACTGGAGTTATTAGTTTCCCTTAAAAAATTTCTTAAATAACAAGCCATCCTGCTTTATCCCCCTGCAGATATCTGACACAACACATGGTCACATTTCTGGTGGCAAAATGCTGGTGTTTTAAGTCAGTATGCTGCAGCTCAAGGTCATATATTTAAGGTAGAACAATATTAATTTTCAGAAAATTTTAGGATAAACCTGAGTAAAGAGACTTAGGCACAATGAAGTGCTTTCAACTCATGGGCTCAGAGCCTACAGTTAAGCATTCATACATACATACATACATACATACATGAACACAGACATGGAAAATAATTTATGCTAAACAGCAAAAAATAAACAGCTTAGAACCAACGTAGGTCTCTGTTGCCTTTATAAGATGTACTTAAAATTCTGATGTTTCTAGTAACTGCAATGGCATTGCAGAGAAAATGCTGCCAAGAGACATAGTAGCATCTCCCTCATCGTTACCCGGGGGTTAGGATTGGTCTCCTTGACATGATAGAGTTTTGGAGTTTTGGAGGGCCTGAGAATGGCCCCATTTCTCTATGATCATGTTCATCATAACTCCCAGTTTTTCCATAATTCTGCAACTTACAACGCTGCTTTTATAAATTGATGGTGGAAGTCGTTTTTTGTTTTTTTTTAAAGGCGCTTGCCTTCTTGTCTTTTCCCACTAGTTGCCTAACTTAATTTGTGGATTACTGTTGCCTCTCAGCACTGCTTCACTGACGTTTGAGGAAGTTCCATGTTCTGTTCCCATAAGTACCAAAAAATACCCCCGTGCTTTCAAAGCAGTCATTGGGAAGGCTGCCCGACGTGTCCTGACCACCAGGGGGCAGCCGGGAGCCGGATTATTTGATTCCTCCCAGAGGACTTCAGACTCTTGATGGCGAGGTGCTGGTGCTGCCCTCACCTCCCGCCTCCCCATCCAGGGCGTGAGCTGGCCGAGCGCTACTGCCATTCCTGTCGGTCGCCTGCTAGGGGTGGTCCTGGCGCTGCCTGTCATGCCTCCTCACCCCGTGCCTCCTGGCTCCTGCACTCGGGCTTTTCTCAGTATCTTGAACGATCTAGGCTCCCACCTGCTACGAGGTCTTTGCACATCCGTTCCCTCTGCCTGGAATGCTACCCCCCCTTTTTCACCTACTTATTTCTCCTTCTCGAGCATCTCTGTTCCTTAGGGAAGCCTGCCCTGATCTCCCAGAAGAGGCAAACTCTGCCATTTCGTGCCCTTATCACACTCTTGGTATGATTACTTGCATGATTACATGTATGATTACTATTGGTAACCCTAGTTACACAGCCTTGGGGGCTGAGGGCTGGGGTGTTACCCTGGAAGGCCCTGAGCCCTTCCTGGGTAGACGCACATCCACACCCAAACTCATAAGAAACTCATGGGCTGACCTAGGATGTCCTACAGTGAGAACTGTGACCATCAGCAGTTTCTTCAGCAACCATGAAGGTTAAAGTGGGAGCTTGAGGCCAATGCATCAGTTCCCATTTGCTCTTCAACTTTTGTTTTCCCTGAAATTAGTAATTCTCTCCCCCCCACCCCCCTTTTACTTGCCTTTCTCACTAATCCATTCCCAAACTCATCTCAGGTTGTCTGCATCTCCTTCCTTAAGCCCTAACATGTTAGGTGCTCATCCTCATGGATTTGTTGGCCAAGCAGCATCTCCCAGAGCCTCCCTTCCTGCTCCCTACGGCTGGGCCACCTCAGTGCCCACCGCACCGCTGAGCTGGGCACCGGTCCTTCCTCGCCACGTGGCCTCTCCTGACGGCCAATGTGCATAAGCTTTCTCTTCTATGGTCTGATGATGTGCTTAACCCCCAAGTAGGTCTGACATTTTCCTGTAGATCTGAAGGCATTGAGGGGATGAGGGGTGTGAGACAGCGAGAAAACAGGCTTCTCCGCCTTCTGGGTCTTCAAGGGGGGGGTGTTGGGGGGCAGCCACAGCCTCATTCAACAGAAGCAAAGGAGGCTCATGGCATGTATGTCCCCATTGCAATTCTTGGGCCCACACATTTCCTCATCCAGGCCTCATTAATGCCCTGCCTTTCACACAGGGATCTGATCATCTGTGAATGTAATGGATTTTACAAGTTGACAACCCACAGGATTTCGAGCCTGACTTCTGGCAACCTCAGTCCCGCGGCTGCATGAGATGAAAATTCTTTTAGCCTCATCACAGAAAGTCCCTTGTTCCCTGCCCTTGCCTTGACCCGAGACTGTAAATGTGGGCTGCTTGTTCTTTCTCAGAAGGCTGTCCTGGGTGGTTAGAAGTAACCAGCTGACTCACAGTCCTTCCTCATGCCTTCCCTAGGGCTGCAATCCCTCCCCAAACCTTGCCTTCCTCCTAGGGAACCTGTGCTTTGAGAACCTGCCTTGGGCTGCTGAAGCATCACCCACTCACCCCTCACAAGTCCTCACTACCTTCGGGCTTCACCAGATGAGACAACAAGTCCAGATCCCAGGGTGTCACTGTCAGTCACCCTGGGTCTAGGATCGATCAGATAGGATTCTCAGCTGCAACAAACCAGAGCCCACTTTGGGTAGTTTAAGCACAAATTGCACGGAGCGGCCTAGAGAACGAGGCCTGACTGTTCCACAGCCAGGAACGGGGTCATAGAAGCTCTCTTTTAGGATTTTCTTTCCAATCCCAGAAGAATCACACCAAATAAAGTCTAAAATGATGTCGACTAGAGTTGGAGGCAAAGCAGAGGTTTGGCATCAGCCCCAGATGGCACAGCCTCCAGGTTCAGCCCAGAGCTGGGGATGCCTTGTGATACCCACTCTAGTTGGACGTGAACATGGAACGAATGAGCACCATCTCTGGGACAGATGGCTTTGCTGAGGGACAGCTGCCAATCAGGTTGAGGGTGTAGACAGAGAGCTAAGCACACACGTACACTCATGTTATTACTAAGCACAGTAACCTGATGGGTAGACAGACTTTAAGGACCCGAGGCAATCTGGTGGACTGAAAAACTTCTGATGGAATGAAGGGAGACTTTACTAACGTGATCTTGCTTCCTCTTAATTCTCTACCTTTCAGTTCCTCTGGGTTTGCCCAGGCCTTTTCTGGCTTAGGGAGACAGGTTGGACGGCCTTAGAGAAGCGCATTTCCTTAGCTCTAGCTATGGTGGCAGGTTGTGGTAAGCCAGGAAGCAGCTGGAATTAAAATGCTTCAAATTACTTGCTGGACCATTGTCCTAAGTGTCAGGCTCATCAAGGCTCTTTGCTGAAAACAAATCTCTTCCTTTCTAGACCTACAATTTGGAATCTTTTTTGGCTTAGTCATTCATACTCTCCCGGATGTATCTTTATTTCAAAAAATAATTTGCGTGTGTTTCATTGGTATAAAAGGAGACTAAAATTCAGGCTAGTAAAAACAAAACAAAAAAGCAAAGCAAAAACACTGACAATCCCACCCACTAAGGACAATCATTTAAAACTCCTTGGTGTGTATCTTTTCATACCCCCTCTATACTGTGTGGTGTGTATGTGTGTGAATTTTAACGATAGGGGAGTAAAAGAAATTTTAATAGGATCATTAAGAACACAATGTTTGGCCTGGCCGGTGTGACTCAGTGGTTGAGTGTTGACCTATGGACCAGGAGGTCACGGTTCAATTCCTGGTCAGGGCACATGCCCAGTTGGCGGGCTTGATTCCCAGTGTGTGTGTGTGTGTGTGGGTTTGGGGGGTAGGGGGGCATGCAGGAGGCAGCCAATGATGATTCTCTCTCATCATTGATGTTTCTGTCTCTCTCCCTCTTCCTTCCTCTCTGAAATCAATAGAAATATATTTAAAAAGACAAAGAACACACTGTTTGCAAATGTGTAAAGGCCAAAAGGCTTCTGGGAAAATGCTCAGCGACTGACTGGTGGATCATGTGGTAACAGTAAACTAACAATGAGGAATGTATCCTATTTAATTTGGGAACATTTACCTTAAGATCAAGGTCTCAGGTGTGGCCCTGGGCAGGTAGGTGATGCACAAAGAAGGTGAATGGAGGCCAAAGGTCAGGAACAGGTCAGCCACATTAAGTGGGTTATTCAAGAGCAATTAGATGGACCTTCATATCCCCATCTTCAACATCCTGAAGAGGTCCAAGTTCTTCAGTAGCAAAGAAATTGCAGACCGAACTCCTGAATCATTTGCAGCCATTTTTCCTTTTATTCCAAACATGTACTTTTGTAAACCTGCATTTCCCAAACAGTGTAAGTGAATTAGAAGTGACTGCATAGACTTTAAATACACGTGACTCCGGGAGGAGGAACGCCCCTCCCGCCAAAACTCCTCGATGGAAATGTACATGAAGGTATCAGTCAAGTTCTAGAAGTGAAGTTAGCGTGGGTGCCTGCATGCAGTTAATCACTCTTAAAGCCTTGAAACTCACTCTGCCAGTCACACCGTGCACATTAGAATAAAAAAACCCCAAACCTTAACAAAGTCTGAAATCAAGACCACTGTGCTACAAAGCATCGCACCACGTGGGAAATGCGTTCCTTATCCCCGCAAGGGGCTCAAAATCAGAAGACACTCCCTTCGGCCATTCTTTGTTTCAGAAAATACACCCCACTGTGTATGTTACTGCTCTGTATCGTCAAAAACCCCGTAGACTGGGGCATTTCCAAAATGACAAGCGTTTCCTGTCTGTGAAAGGGCCATCTCCCTCCAAATTAGAAGCCTTCCAGTGCATACCTTTGGGGCAGTTTGAGTCAGATGTATGTAGATTTCACCAGATGTATGTTTCATGCCTAGCCTACTGGGAACTGCACTCACCTGGGCATCACGCCTTCCCACAAGTAAAAGTAGTAGAATCACCTCTTACAACATTCCTCTGCCAGCCATGAACAGGTCGCTTACAAGACACACCTCCCCTGAGGGATCCACTAGGCTTCCTATGGAAAACAGGCCCTTCACATGTCCGGGAGGCCTGCAGGTTTTCTGTTTTAACCTGGTGGCCTTTGGCTCAAGGACTGTAGGCTCTCCGTGATGTGGTGAAGGACTTTCTATTGGATTGCCTACAATGTTTACCAGATTTCAGAATACCCCTGGTGGTGGAATTTTCCTGAAGAACTGCCTGGGAAAGCCTCAGTGACCTCTGTGCTAAGTGATTCCAGATGTGTGCCTGTCAGTCATCATGCGGCCAATGGGCCCACTCACTTCTTCTGGCGCCTCCCCGCTCCTAAACTTCGCGGCCTCCTCTTTGCGACAGTCCAGGGCTCACTTTGGGGATGTTCCGAGACTCGTGAGTGCCAGGTAAACGGATCACAAGCAAATTGTTTTTGGAAAGGGGGGGGCAGGCATGCTTTTATTCAGTTTCTTTCTACAAAGGCCCTTTTTCACATTTAAAAAGCACCTCACTATCCCAATCCTTCTGACAGTTGGTGAAAACAGGGATTTTCAACCTTTTTCATCTTGTGGCACACATAAACTAATTACTAGAATTCTGCAGCGCACCAAAACCCATATTATCTTTTCTGCAGAGCTACCAACAACAAAGAAGGTACAATTCGGATTCATTCACCCCGGAAGGCTACTGTGTCGGCTGTTGTCATTTTTTGATTTGACAGTCTAAGAAAAAAGAGGCCAGTGCCCCCTGCGAAATAGTCAGGTCTCATGTTTTAAACATTCTTGAGGGACACCTGTTGAAAATTACTGTCTTAGCAGATTCCACAGTGAACCCAACGAAACGGGAAGGGTAGAAATTGGAGTTCACTGTGGAACTGTAAGAGAATATTCTGGAGTAGTAACACAGACACGACAACGCACCCTGTCTGCTTCCCCTAGAAGCCTAGCGAGGGCTCCTGACCTGGGGTGGAGCTGAGAGCGCCGGCCACGTGGGGACGCCTGCCATTGCGGTGCCCCGCCTGCTCCTCAGCGCGGCCAGACAAGCAGAGGCACCGTCCCTCCCACACGGGTTCCTGCAGCGGCTGCTGGTCTTGGCTCCTGCTGATGCCGAGTATGATTTTCTTAAAACTGCCTCATGAAGTTTCAGTGACCGCCTGGGGCCGTGACTACTCAGGCGGGTCTGCCATCCAGAAGCAAATGGACCCGGTTCTGACACCGCCCCCAGGAGCCCACCCCGATGGGAACGAGGCTTTTCCCTCTGCCTTCCACACCGTCACCAAATGTGTCTGCAGCCCTTGCGGGAGTGGTTATAAAAGCATTTGGCCAGCCCCCCAGGGAGCCGGCCCAGGACTACCGCCTAAGAATTTTAAGTCATTTATTAAAGGACAACGTGACACAACGAATAAAAGCCCATCAAAGGGAAGCTGTGAATGGGGTTTCATAAAATAAAAAATCAAAAATCCACTCTCTACCCTCCATTGCAGGAGGTGTGCCTCCCCGTAGGCAAAAAGTGCCTGTGGTGTTGTTCTCTGGGGAGCTTCCAGAACCTAGCACAGAGCTTGACGCAAAGCAGGGGACCCATAAATATCCTCTAAATGAGCGACTACAACCACTAAAGACTGCTTTTATTACTCTTGATAGAACTCATAGGCAAACTCCGTGCCAGAACTGGTTTCCCCGCCTCCATCTGCCCTGTGGTTACCTCTGTGCCTCCAGCCCTTAGACGCAACATCCCCAACTTCATTCTGGATCAGCCTCCTTCATACATACTCTTGACCCTCTGGCTTTTGCTGCCTGTTCCCCTAGCCACCACGATACAGTCATTGTCTTCCTGCATCAGGGTCGACGCGTAAGAAGAAACGAAAAGACACACACATGTCCCAGGCCAGGTTCGCAGCTGCCCAGCACCCAGAGCTTTCTCGATGTTTGCAAGTATTAGCCAACTGTCTAGAAAACCTATCTCCCCTGAAGTTGAGTTGTGTCTTTCCGATGGTGTCCACAGCCCCCCACCATGTGAGCTGCCAGTAGACAAGGTCCTATACGAAAGGTCCTTCATCTTGTTTTTGTCTCATTCCCACTGGATGCCCATCTGTATGGACTGGGGCTTGAGCAGGAGCCATGAAGGACTCTCGGCCAGACCCTGCTCTGAGCACATGTTTTCTCTCTCATCAGATGGTGGTTCAGCAGTGGTAGCAGCAGCCATCGCCGCTAACAGTTACTGAGTGTTCACTAAGGCGCCAGGTACAGTGCTGAGCACGATACAGCCACCGGCTCAGTGCCCTTTTTAGAAAACCACAATGCACTCAATACTGGGCAGCCCAGCCCGTCCAATAGTAAACGCTGTCAAACAGAAAGCTTGGATATTGAAGGCCATCACTCAGCATCCAACCCTGCAGGGAGGAGGGGAGGAGGCTGGGGCTCTGCCCAGATCCCGCTGCACCGTTTCTGTATGCCTCCCCAGGTGGTGGTTGGGTGCACCTGCAGCTCTAATTTAGTGGACTACCCCTGAGCTATGGAGCCATTTTGCAGTAGGAACTGGGAGTGGAAGGTTTACCTCTTCCTTAGGTGCAAGAGTGTGAAGGCTCAGCCATCTTGCCTCAGGTTGGGACAACCCTGAGATGCAACCTACCCTCCAGAGCTCCCCTGCAGGATCTGGCTGACGCTACCCTCCATGGAACCTTCCCCTGGCTTCCTCCCTCTCCCTGCTTCCCTCACCCCCATACCGGTGTTCCCCTGGGAGCACTTCCTTAATTAGTTACTTGCATGCAGAGCCTCGTCTTGGGGCCTGCTTCTTGGGAACCCCACCAAAGACACTATTTTAAACAATAAGAACAGGTTGAACGGTCATCTCTGGGAAGGAATCTGCAATTACCATTAGCAAAAGTGATAGAGAACTGGAGACCTCTGAACTCAAAGGACCCCGCAAAGGCAACACAGCACAGCATCTGACACAAGTCTCTGTGGGGTGGGCACTCATCAGTCCTTGAGGTGCGCAGACTCTGATGGACAACGTCCAGGACGTGATGCCATTCTGAGGTTTACCAGATGACCGGCTGGCGTTGCTCCAATTCGCCTATTAATCCAGTGGAAGGAGGGCGAGATGCCTGCTGGGGATGCAGAGCAGGCTTGCTGCTGGGAATCAGGTTTTCCATCCAAATTCCTGTTGGGAATCTTCCAATGAAAGGTACACATGAGAAAATACTTATAGTTCTTTAGCCCATTAACGTCAAACTTGACTCCAGGCAAGACAGTCGTGAAAGTTGCCTTGGGGGTCCGGCCACAATCACAGTTTATACGCAGAGCCGCAAGCTTGGTGGATTCAGGACACGAGGTTTCTTCCCATGATTTGATCGGCAAGTCTGTTGTAACAGCAAGTTGCAAAGAACAGTAAGATTTTTATCCTTTAAAATCTGTACGAATGTACATGTGTTTCCAGGCCAGATATCAGTGCTTGAGTGAATTATATAACTATTTAATAGAAATAATAAAACATCGATACAAATATAAAGACATAATCAGTATAAAAGGCTTATATTTATAAAAATACTTTTAGGTAACAGTTTTCCCCTGAGGGTTGACCATGCACGTTGCATCCATAAATATTGCTCGGCTCTGTAGCTTGCTTTCCAAAGTTCAGAGTTCATCTTTAAAAAGGAAGTGGTGGGCTCCAGTCACGTGACCTGGCCGAAGTGGCGGCCTCAGGTGGGCACCTGGGCTGGATAGAATGAAGACGAGAACAGCATCAGTGGGGCCTCCGAAAAATCTGGAGAACATTCTTTCTTCCAAATATGGAAGATACAAAGGTCAAGGACGACAGGTGACATGAGTGGGTCATGTGACTGGTGGGGCAGGTCACTGGTTTTTCTGGACCCAGTCCCAATTGTCTTCGTTCTCTTTCCGGTTCTTCTCGGCTTCAATAATTTCTTTGTACCTTCGGCGAAAGAAGCCCATCTGAAAGGCAGACAGAAGAGAACCCGGGTTAGAGAAGCTGAGGAATCAGCCATTTGGACTGTAACGCGGCCTGGCTGAGGAGAGGCATGACCAGGCCGAGGAGTGGCATGACCTGACTGAGGAGAGGCATGACCAGGCCGAGGAGTGGCATGACCTGGCTGAAGAGAGGCATGACCAGGCCAAGGAGAGGCGTGACCTGGCCGAGGAGTGGCATGACCAGGCTGAGGAGAGGCGTGTCCTGGCCGAGGAGAGGCATGACCAGGCCGAGGATTGGCATGACCTGGCCGAGGAGAGGCATGACCAGGCCAAGGAGTGGCATGACCGGGCTGAGGAGTGGCATGACTGGGACTCAGTGCCAGGAAGGCTGGCTGGGAAAACATCTCTCATTCGACTGCTTTAGACAGAGCCTTATGTGGAGCCACTTTTCACAATGCATGGACTTCCCCAGGCTATCTCATGACTGCTCCTTGGAAAGTACTTCTGGTGGAGTGTTTCCCAAACTGTATTCCAGGGAACACTAGTTACAGAGAGTTATTCCAAGGTGTTGGGGAGTAACATGGGTCTCATGGTCAAATGAGTTTGGGAAACGCTGCATTCTTTCTTTCTTAAAGAGATTTGCAATGTACACAGCAGTAAAGGATCTAATAAACCTTTAGGAAAGGATAGAAGAAACCCCAGGGCTTGGCATTTCCTGAGCTTATTTGGTTTTGATAAACTTATTCATATCCTGAGAGATACTAGCCACCGTGGACTAATTGAATAATTGCTGCTCTCCCATAATAGGCTTTGGGGAAGTGTCTTCGGGTCTGCATTCGAGCCCTAGGTCTTTGTCTCATACCTGTGCGCGTGCCACAGCCAGGAGCCTGGCCTCTGTTCCTGACCGGACGGCAGTTTCCTTTACCCCGGTTCTGAAAAGACCTTCCCCTCTCGGGTCTTCTGGCTCTTCACACGGGGTGAGATGAATTTTTGTTTTGCCCAGACAGTCATTACAGGCACTCTACTGCCCAATACTTAAGCAACTTTCTGTAGCCCAGGGTGACCCGGCGTCTCTTGTCCTTCGCTCACCAGCATCAGTGGCATCTGTTCCTGAGGTCAGACGTCCCTCCTTGCACCTGCCTGGAGGCATGGCTGCCCGGACTGGCGGTACTCCAGCTCCCTCTCTCTTTGGGGTGACATCCCTGAGGTGCCTGTCCCGCACTTTCCCAGTGGAACGTGCCCGCAGTGCTAAGCAGCTTGACGCCTCCTTGACTGGCTTCCTTCTCTTCCCTGCCTTGTTTCCCTGCTCTGATCTCTGAGATCACCTCCTAATTAAATGGCCTCCCTCAAATCCTCCGTTCAATCCCCTTGAATAGAGGACTGAGACCCACACATGGTCTGCTGCACGGCAGGTGTGTGATGCCACGCTGCCGGTAGCTTACAGTCCCGTAGTCCTATTTGAAAATGCTCAAGACTCGCCACCTCTACCGCCTGCTGCCAGAGGGAATGCCCAGAGGAACCTGCCGTGCGCAGATCACCAAGCAAACCCGCTGTCCCGGCACAGCTAACCCGCTGTTGTCTGCGCGGTGGTCTTCACGCTGCTCTACGAGACAAGCATCCACAGTCACCTGACGGTGTGAGCTCCCCGAGCAAGGAGGGCAACGGGGTCAGAACTCCCTTGCGTTACCATCTTCCTACCCCCACACCCCCAAGGGGGCTCACTGGTCGAGCCGAAGTAGAGAACCATCAAGAGAGCTGCCCAGGAAACGTCTCCACCCACATGGCCAAGGCCATCCTGAGCTCTCACTCTGAGCGGAGTCAATGGAGTGGTGCTGTGTGAATGACTGGGGCGGACTAGAAGCTTCCTTACAACTGGCAAGGGTCGTGGGTTGTGAGCACCAGTCCTCGTGGCCAGGGTTGCAAGCAGACATGGAGTTCCTCGTGTTTTCAGCCCTGAGGTCTCTTCTACGCAGCGTCAGACCACCTCTGTGGGAACCCCACTTTCTGACAACCCCACAAATGCACTTTTCTCTCCCCAAGTCCCTACGGCTGTCTCCCCTCTGCAAGGGATGTGGAAAAGGGGCTTGGCCGGAAAGTTCTGGATAAATAGGAAAAGGTCCTTGTCATTGCCCTCGAAGCACACCCACAGAAAAGCAACCCAAGATTGAATGGGAATGTCTGCCTGGGAAGTTACTGCTTGAGCGATCATTATTGAAAGAGAAAGATGGTTGATGGGGAAAAATGTCATGTGTCCCTTCTGTGCTGACGAGAACATAACCATGCCAATAGGGCTGGGTATAAAACGGAAATGAGGTTCTTTAGCACGGAGCTCTGCCTGCCGATGGGGTCATGGTTCAGTAATCCCGGTTACTCACCCTCAATCCCAGACAAGTAACCTATCTCTACCGTGGCGCTAATCAAGCTGAAATTCAACTGTCTGCTCCCTTCTCATTTTGCTTGTGTCTTAGAACTCCTTGAAGGCAGGACGCTGGCTTTCCACCCCCCAGAGCTCAGCATCTCATCTGTACCTGGCATCAGTGAGACCCTGCAGAGGTGCCCACCATCCTCCACTCCCCTGCATCCCTGCCCTGTGCCACGTGATTCTGCAGGTGGAGTCTGTTTCCCACATCCGGAATCTGCACTGCGACTTGCTTTGACAACTGGATGCGATGGAGGAGATGCTCTGTCAGGTCCATGCTTGGGCCTCACGTGGCCTTGCACGTGTCTGCTCACTTTCCCGGAGTCCTGCCGGGCCATGAGATTGAGTATGGACTGGCCTGCTGAAAGATGAGCACCCACCCAGCTGGGGACTGCCTACACCAACCACCCCCACTGCCTGCAGAGGTGTGTGTGAGTCCAGCTGAGCCTGGAGGGCCACCCTGTTAAACTCAGTCCAACTCACGGACTTAGGAGCTATATAGATGGTTGTTGCTTTTAAGCCACTACCAGCGGTGGGGAACGTCCGGCCCGTGGGCTGTATAAGGCCCAAGAAATCATTTGGTCTGGCCCTGCCAAGGCATTAGGGGTGAGTTAGTCCAAATGTAGCAGGCTAATTTAACCAAATATATATTTTTTTATTGATTTCAGAGATGAAGGGAGAGGGAGAGAGAGAGATAGAAACATCAATGATGAGAGAAAATCATTGATAGGCTGCCCCCTGCCCACCCCAGGGATTGAGCTCTCAACCCGGACATGTGCCCTGACCGGGAATTGAACCTGGACCTCCGGGTTCATAGATTGACACTCAACCACTGAACCATGCCGGCTGGGCAGCAGGCTAATTTTTAAATTGATAATTCTGTGCGGCCCGAGAATGATGTTATACATATCCAAATGGCCCTTGGCAGAAAAAAAGGTTCCCCACCCCCGCCTAGACTTTGGGGTGGTTTGTTACGCAGCATGAGCTAACTGACACAGCACGCCACGTGTTCTGTCTGACTTAACGAATGAACAGCCCCAGGAAGGGTGGCAGAGAGGCAGCTGACGGGGTTCTAGATAGAAAGAGCGTCGTTGTGCCTTGTCCTGCCGAACAGACTCTCCTTGTCCCTCTCTAAGAAGGACAAAGGTCGCCACTTTCTCAGCGTGAAGATCCGATGCAGAGTGAACAAACAACCTAGCAAGGATTTAGAGTACCTGGACTGACTCACACGTGTACTCATGTTTCATGGGTGTCACATCTGTTGCCTAAACGTGAAGGTGCTGTCGTCTCCTGCAGGCACCCAGAAGCAAGCTCTTTTCTTCCCAAAGGACGGGCGCCGCCTGACCCACGCTCTGCCCCACTCCAACACCGCGGGGTCTGGAGAACCCCGTGCCCAACACGGCCTCGGTGTGGTCTCCAGAGGGGAGGCTGCAGCTGCCACTGATGTTTGCTCCTTGGAGCTGAAGACCATGTCTTAAAACACAGCCCACTCTCATGGGGAGGGAGCGCTGGGTACAGTAGCACGGCTGGAGTGCCTGTTAGCGGGAAGGAGGTGCCAACAACGCGCATCACAGATAGAGGCGCAGACTTTCTTTCAACTATTTCCCAGCAGGTGTCAGTAGAGAGACTTCTTCTAAGGAAACCAGTAGAGTCTGAATTTTGGAAAGTCGGAAGTCAGGTTTCTGGAGGAGGGGGCGCTGTTTACTAGTTTGCACAAGGGTGCCCTGTCATCAGACCCCACTCTGTCACACCAACCAACGCTGATTACGTGACCAAACTAATTCTATTTCAGAAATGAGCCGATCGCCTTAGTGCTTTTGTTCAGAGCCTGGTTTGGCTTTTGATACAGAGCCCAAAGCCCTGGCTCTGAGTTTACCAAGCAGTGGCCCCCAAACAACTGTGTCAACTAGGTTTGCCAGTGCCCAGGACCTACTCAGAGGAGCGGTACAGGCCAGAGACGTGGCATGGGGACCCCAGAGTCCCGATTACCGCCCACGCACCAACGAACGACGCGTGGGCCACGGGATACGTACGTCGTTTGCTGGCTCTGAGCCAGTGTCTTTGTCTCTGCCCACGAGACCAATGGCCTTCTCGAACCTCCTCCGGCCAAGAAACACAGCCACAGCTTTTTAGGTTGGTCCCCGAAGCCAACCTGGGACTGCAGCCCGTGGGGCACACAGCGGTGTGCCCGGGACTCACGAAGAAGGGACAGGCACAGAGTCCTTGCCTGATGCCAACTTTTCTGAGAGTTTTTGGAAAAGTGAATTTTCAACTTTTCTATTAAAGCATGGATCTATTACGAAGAATTATAACATTCTTAAAAATTAAGACCAATGCCCTAACCGGTTTGGCTCAGTGGATAGAGCGTTGGCCTGCATACTGAAGGGTCCCAGGTTCGATTCCGGTCAAGGGCATGTACCTTGGTTGCGGGCACATCCCCAGTGGGAGGTGTGCAGGAGGCAGTTGATCGATGTTTCTCTCTCATCGATGTTTCTAACTCTCTGTCCCTCTCCCTTCCTCTCAGTAAAAAAATCAATATATTGGAAAAAAAAATTAAGACCAAGCAAGACTTCAAAGGCCTACCTCTCCTGCAGCAGGCCTTCCT